TACTCCTTTCTCAATATTTACAGGTCTTACACCAAGCAAAACAAATTTATATAAAAAATAAAATGAAAAGTAAATAAAAACTGAAATACATCTGACAAAACTTACTTAATTGGTTTGCTGAATTGGTCACTTAATATCTATGATTCTTTGAGTTGACATGCAAGCATGGTCTAATATACTCTCCAGGACACAGTGAGGAAAGTTGGACAATGATTAACAGAAAGGATAGTGACACTCAAATATCTCTAGCTTCAATAACACAGTAAAGCAAGGAAATAGGAGACAAAGCCTTTTAAAAGTCCATCTTGGCAGGATTGTCTTAGTTTGGGAGCTTCTGGCTGGCAGTGAAAGGAATGCCAACAGCAGATGGCCAGATCCAAGGCTTACGACAGAGAAACTTAGAAAACTTGTACAATACTAACACTAATGAGACTATTAAGCAGAAAAGAAGGAAGAGCTAGAGTAGGGATGCACATTGACATTGGCAGAGACTGGAGATGTCAGGAAAACCTCTCTTTTTGGCACTCAGCACCCACCTGGAGCAGCCATGCAAGACTATATTAAAAAGGCTTCTATGATCTACACTCTCAGCAAGCTCAGCAAAAGTGTCAGGACTATACACTGAAACCTGGCCAGCAGAACACTGACTACAGGGAAGAAAATGAATCAGAACCACACAGTAGTTACCAGTCATAGAGGGAGAAATTTAGATCTTCAGGTAAACACACTAAGGTTTCAAAGACCTAGACCCACATTGCAAAAGGCTGCTCAAGGGCAAAATCAGTATCCAATCTTATTCTTGAAGGTCTGCCCACAGGAGTGACCAGAATCTGACCATATTATTTAGAAAGGCCCAGTTACTGAACCAGCATCTATAACATGCTTTCCCAAAGTACAGTCTGGAAGTGAGAAGAGCACCTAAAAGGTCATTGGTAGGTATAACCAGAATCTGAGACTAAGAAGGTTCAGGGATATGGTAGGCATATGGGAACCCAGGAAGGAATGCTAATGGGCTCAACACTGGGCAAACAGACCAAACTGCATTCATAATATATATCCCATCCAGCTCTCTGCTCTTCACAGTCCCTTACTTTAATACCCATATTAATTTAGTAGGACAGATCTGTTCTGCCATCTTTCCAGCTCAATAAATACGATTGATTAACCCTTAATATGGTTGTCTGAATTAAAATGGCCTCCATAGACTCAGGAATCAGTTTTATAATTATTTATTTAGAAAATAAACATACCTAATCACATGATCATCTCAATAGATGCAGAAGTCTTTCCATAAAATCCAGCATCCTTCTATTAAAAAAAAAAAAAAAAAGGCCCAAAGAGACTAGGAATAGAACTAACATAGTAAGACTTGTATATGGCAAGACTATAGCCAAACTTATAATAAATGGGGAAACATTCCAAGAAATTCCACTAAAATCAGGAACAAGACAAGGTTGTCCAGTTTTTCCACTTTTGTTCAAAATGTTGCCTAAAGTCTTAGAGTACTAACAGACGAAAATAAAAGAGATAGAAATAGGAAAGGAATAAGTTAAAATATCCTTATTTGCAGATTGTGTGACTCTCTACAAGAATCCTAAAGACTCCACCAGGAAACTCTTATACCTGAGAAGCACTTTTAAACAAAGTGGAAAAATATAAAATTAGCATATAAAAACCAATAGCCTTCATATATGCCAGTAAGAACATGCTAAGAAACCAGAAAGGACAGTCCATTTACAACCTTGGAATAAACCTGACCAAAGCAGTGAAACAGGACTCTAGACACTCAGGAATGATAAATGGGACATCATCATATTAAAAGAAACACTGTGTAAAAAGAGAGCCTCTGAATGGGAGAGCTTTGTAGGCCATCTACCTGACAGATAATTAATATTTAGAACATACAAATAACTCAAAAAAAAAAAAAAAACTAACCCGTGCTGGGCGGTGGTGGTGTATGCCTTTAATCCCAGCACTCAGGAGGCAGAGGCAGGCAGATCTCTGTGAGTTCAAGGCCAGCATGATCTATAGAGTTATAGGACAAACTCCAAAACCTGTCTTGAAAAACAAACAAAAAACCAAAAACAACAACCCCCCAAAAAAACTAACCAAAATAAGTCAAACTGACTAATTAATAAAAGGGCTAATTAAATAAACAGTTTTCAAAAGATGAAAATATAAATAGCCAATAAAAAGTTTTTTTTAAATGTTCAACCTTACTAGCCACCAGAAATAGAAGTCAAAACGACAGTGAGATCCCATCTTACTCATCAAAATGGCTAGTAACAGTAACAGGCTGGAAAAATGTCTCCACAGTCAAGAACACTTGCTGCTCTTTGAGAGGACCTGAGTTTGGTTCTTATCACTCTTGTCAGGAGGCTCACAACCACCTGTAACTCCATCTCCTCAATGCCTCTGGCCTTCGAGGGCATCTGTACTCACATGTAGACACACTCACAGATACACGTATACATAATTAAAAATAATGAAAATAAATCTCAAACAACAACAACAACAAACAAATTGTACTGGTTCAGTCTGTGTCAACTTGACACAAGCTAGAGTCATCAGAGAAGCAGGAACCTCAGTTGAGGAAATGCCTCCATGCTTTAAGGCCAGATCTCAATTAGTAATCAGTGGGGGAAGGCCCAACCCATGGTGGGTGGTACCATCCATGGACTGGTGATCCTAGATTCTATAAGAAAGCAGGCTGACATCCTGAGTGAGGTAACCCCGTCACAAAAAGATAAACATTGTATGTACTCACCCATATATAGATTTTAGACATAGAGCAAAGGATTACCAGCCTACAATCCATACCACCAGAGAAACTAGGAAACAAGGAGTACCCTAAGAGAGACATACATGGTCCCCTGGAGAAGGGGAAAGGGACAAGATCTCCTGAGCTAACTGAGAGCATTCGGGGAGGGGAGAGGGAGTTAGAAGAAAGAGAAGGAGACAAGAGGAGGGGAGAGGAGGACATGAGGGAGCAGGAAGATTGAATCAGGGGAAGAATAAAGGAGAGCAATAAAAGAGATGCCATAACAGAAGGAGCCATTATAGGTTTAAAGAGAAATCTGGCACTAGGGAAATTTCCAGAGATCTACAAGGATGATACCAACTAACAATCTAAACAATAGTGGAGAGGCTACCTTAAATGACCTTCTGAAATAATGAGATTGATGACTAACTTATATGCCATTCTAGAGCCTTCATCTAGTAGCTGATGGAAGCAGAAGCAGACACCGAAGCTAAACACTGAACTGAACTCCTGGAATCCAGTTGCAGAGAAGGAGAAATGATGAGCAAAGGGGTCAAGACCAGGCTAGAGAAACCTACAGAAACAGCTGACCTGAACAAAGGTCATGGACCCCAGACTGATAGCTGGGAAACCAGCATAGGATTGATCCAGACCCCTTAACGTGGATGTCAGTTTGGAGGTCTGGGCAATCTATGGGGCCTCTGGTAGTGGATAAGTATTTATCCCTGGTACACGAATAGACTTTGGGAGCCCGTTCCACATAGAGAGATACTCTCTCAGCCTAGACACATGAGGCAGGGCCCAGGCCCTGCTCCAAATGATGTGACAGACTTTGAAGATCCCCCATGGAATGCCTCACCCTCACTGGGGAGCAGAAAGAGGATAGGATGGGGAGTCAGTGAGGGGGGGTCAGGAGGGGAGGAGGAGAGGGAGAAGGAACTGGGATTGACATGTAAAACAAGCTTGTTTCTAATTTAAATTAAAAAAAAAAAAAGAAAGTAGGCTGAGCATGAGAAGGGAGCCAGTAAACAGCCCATGGCCTCTGCATCAGCTCCGGCCTCTGGGATCCTGCCCTGTTTGGGTTCCTGTCCTAACTTCCTTCATTGATGAACAACAATGCTTAAGCATAAGCTAAATAAAACTTTTCCTCCCCAACTTGCTTTTTGGTTGTGGTGTTTCACCTTAGCAACAGAAACCCTAAGACACAAACAAGTAAAAACCAATAATGGTGTGGATATGGATAGAACACTGCTGGTGGGAATGCAAAAAAATCCAAATATTATGCAAATCAATATGGCTGTTTCTCAAAATAAAATTCACTCTACCTTATGACTCAGATAATTCTCAGATATTTAACAGAAAAAAAATATTTGTCAAAAAACAAAACCAAAAAACGTCAACATATCATAGAGATACTTGTAGACCAATAGTTACTGCAGCACTATCCACAACAGCTTGAGTCACAGAACCAACCTAGGTGTCCAATAACAGAGGAAGAAATAAAGTGTGAGATACACACACACACACACACACACACACACACACACACACACACACACACACACGGATTCTTTTCAGTCATAAAGAACAAAATTAGCTCATTTGCAGAAAAAAAAAGAAGGGTATCAGAGTTAATCATCTTGAGTAAATTCAGCCAGTTTCAGAAACACAAAATTGCATGTAGTTCCTAGAATTTATATAGATAAAATAATGTATGAAGTAAAACTGTCTAGGGGAACAAAGGGGACTAATAGGAGTAAGGAGAGAATGAGATGGAGGATAGGTGGTAGAGGGGTAGGAAATGTGTTGAACATACAATGTAAACTTGTATGAAAACTTTTAAAAAGTTAAAATAAAAATTGGAGTAGCAACTTTTTAGCTAATTTTTTTCATAGTTTAACTAAGTTTCTCAATTTGATTAGTTTGATTTGATATTTGCATAATTTTTAATTTAAATCTGATTTAAGAATAGGTCAGGATATGCAATTTATGAAAAAATAGATACATAAAATGAATTATATTACTGAGCTGAAAATATTCATTCTCTATTTGAAGCCACTGTGCCTTTCAAAAAATTATAATACATATCATGTAATGCAATATATAACAAAGAATGTCTAGATTATTTTTAAAATTGTTAAATTAAAAGTGATCATAAATTTATGTTTAATATATAGTTTTGCTAGAACAACTTTGTTAAACAGGGTAGGAGGTTGTAAAAAAAAAAAAAGTTAGTTACCTTCAAATAAACTGAGGTCTCTTCGTAGCCGTGGTCCATAAAGCCCTTCTAAAATACTCTCAAAACCTGTGTTTTCAAAGAGAGAAAAGTGTATTAGCTCCTGGAAAAGCTTTAGTTTTTAATCATCAAAAACTGTAAATTCGATGTCAATCTGCAAATAATTTATCAAATTGAACTAGCTAGTATACTAATTATATAGTGACTGTCAAATTAAGATCGTAAGGTAATTAGAATACTCAAATGCATATATTAACCCAAGCTAAAGTACTGTCCAGTATAATCTAATACTTGAGAAAGAATACTGATGAGAAATGGGGAAAAGGGTAATAGTCATTCACTGTTGGCAGGATTGCAAAATTATGTAACCACTGAGGAAATCAGTGTGGAGAATTCTCAAAGTAGGAAAAGTAAACCATATGACCCAGGTATAATATTCTGTGGCATATTCCCAAAGAACCTGACATCATACTCCACACATACTTAGCTATGTTCATTGCTACTCTATTCACAACATCAAAGAAATGGAATCACCTAAATGTCCTACAGTAACAAATGGATAATGAAAATGTGGTATGGATACACTATGGAATACTTGTCATCTGTAAAGAAAAATTCAATCATGTATTTTGCAGGTAACTCAATCATGGAGCTAGAACATATCAAATGAGATGACTCAGACCAAGAAAGACAAATATTGCATGTTCTCTCTTATTTTTGGATCCTAGCTTAAATATTTAGATGTGAATGTATAGTCTGGGGAAACCATATCGCTGAAAGCAGGAAAGTAAAATGGGACCAGGTGCAAGGGGATGGGTGTGGGAAGAGCCACAAAAATGGACATAGTAGGAAACTATGCTATAAAGGGGGAAAGGGAAATATATGGAGGAGGGATTTTATCTGGGAAAGGTGATGGAAAGGGAAACACTGCTGGACAGAGAAGGAGGGATAAAGAATACCAAAGACATCAAGGAAAGATGAACATCAAAGATGACTGAAAAAGACACAAGGAAGGTATGTTTACCTACGAATATATATGTGTGTATGTGTATAAATATATAAATAAGTTAAATAAAGTTATATGCCCCTAGGAATGATAATGCTCCAGCAAGAGCCATAGACTAGCAAAAACCTTGGTTTTAAGCAGGGGAACCTTTTGAACTGCTGATCAGGGGAGTCCAACAGACTTCCAAGGCTTGTAGTTGCCTCCCAGAACTTTAAGATAAAGCACTATAGCTCAAGAAACCACATATTTCAGACAAAGGATTTTCTAGGAATTAAGCTGGAACTGATCTGAATGCCTTCTCCCTAAAGATCAACTCTTATAGTATCACAAGGTGCTATGCAAACTGCCAAGGGAGAGAACAGTCAGTCAGTAGTTCTACCCAGGTGTAAGGCCTACAAATCACAATACTGACTGGATCAGCAAGCTATCCACAATGGTGCAATAGTGGCACACCTTGGGGCAACCAACAGCTATCTACTGGACTTAAGCCAATTTAGCAGGAAGTGATTCATGTCTTGCCAACTTCCCATTGATGAAGGAGTCACAGATGGGAGGAGAACTTTCTACTGAGAGTTCCCTAAGCCAATATAAAAAGAAGCCAGGATGTCTAATAGTTAAAATGACAATGTTAATGCACTGGACAAACACAGAACCCTGGATTTAATATATTCCTTTCAAGTATTTTGAAAATATTTATATAAAAACAAATGCCAGTCAAGTTCAAAGGATTGGAATCAGATTGAACATTTCCTTTTACTAAATGCAGTGAAGTTTCTAACCAGTTTTAAAGAGAGAGAACTATTCTTAAGTGGTTGGAAATTGATAGGCTTCTTAATGTCCCATAGATCTAAAACAGGTATTCTAAAAGTCAGTAATTATTTTGACTAAGAAAATTTACACAAAGTTCTAGGTACAACTTTAAAGTAGTACCTAGAAATTTATAGATTTAAGGGTCTATGTTGCAAATGAATGTTAGTGTGCTAATCAAATTGCAACAAAACCTAAGAAATAGAGGACAGAAGATATAAAAGCAGAGCAGAAATTAGTGGATAAGAAAGGGAGCATAATAAAGTCTGGAGAGGTGGCTCTGCAGAGGGGACACATAGATATCCCTGGTAGAGGGGAACAGAATAGACTTTATGGATGGACTGGGTGTTTTAAACCAGCCAAGCCTGCCAACCCACCTCCACCCCCACCCCCTCCCCGTCCTTGGGACCTGGCAAAGTGTGCCACCTCTGTACATGGCAAGCAGTACCCTGGCTCTGCCACAGGTGTGAAGGTCCTTTTAAGATAAACTCCACCCACCACCCACTCTGTCTCTCTTCCTGTATCTTTGTTTCTATCTCTTTCTGTGTCTCTCTTTCTCTCTACCCCCCACTTCCCTTCCCCCAGTAAAGCTTTCCAAGTAACCTCTGCCTAGCCTGTGTGTTTATCCCACCAGCTACCAAGGTCTCCCGTAAGACATATTATTACACTGGGAACAACGGGAAATGGAACAGGAGAATCAGGAAGGGAGAGGAGTCTGGTTGAGAATGGGGATTTGGAGAGAATGAGCTAGAGTTGACGGGAATTTGAGGGATGGTATAGAAACCTAGGGCATTGGAAACTAACTAAAATGTAGGAAGGCAATCCTAATAAAATCTCCAAATAATGAGAGAGACCAAGTCCCAACTGGCCATCTCTTGTCACCAAATGGGGCTTCCAGTACCAGGACTAGGTTAGATCCAACTGAGTTGTTGGCCAAAGGAGTCTCATGTAAATAACCAAACAATCCAGGTTGTGGCCAAGAGAATAGGTTTCTCTCCACAAACTGACAGCAAGGTCCCAATGCTGAAGACAACAGTCACAAACTCACTGAACATGGAAAGGTCAAGCTGGTCCCTACATAAAACCTTCACCCCTATGTTCTACTGTCTTTGGTATGGGAAGGAACTCTGCAGGCTACTAAAGGAGAAACATAAACAACAATCTAGCCATTGTTGATCTACAATCTGTCCAGCCTACAAAATATGCTAGGCTAATGGTCGTACACAGCTTGAAGGAATAACCAATGTCCAATTTGACTTAAGGACCACTCCATAAGATAGAAACCCAGACCTGACACTCTTTGGGTGACCTGGTACCATAGACTACATAGCCCAGAGACCCATGGTAAATCCAAATACTACTGTTAAAAAGAAAAGAAAAAAAAAAGAGAGATAAATTGACTTCTAATAATATTCTGTTATACTCACAGATTGGTGCCTTATTCAGCTATCATCAGAGAACCTACCTCCAGAATCAAATGGGAACAAATAAAAAGACCGACAGACAGACACTGAGGGAAGGGTCACCTTGGAACACACGTCTCCATCAACCACCCCCCCCCCAACACACACACACACACACACACACACACACACACACACAGTTCAGGGAAGCCTGTGAAACAGAAGACAGAAAGACTGTAACAGGCAAAGGGGATGGGGGACACCAGGAGAACAAGATTTTCTAAACTAAGTTAAGGTCATATGAACTCACAGAGACAGAAGAAGCAAGCACACTGCTGAAATGGGTTTATGCCAGGTCCTCTGCATATACATTATAGCTTTCAGTTTAATATATTTATTTTTTAAAAAAGGAAGATAAAATATATCTACCATATGAAAAAATTACTTACTATGGTGATGGGGAATGTACTTCTTTGTATGTTTATCTTACTGATTATTGAATAAAATACTGTTTGGCCAATGAGACAGCAAGTTAGACAGGACTAGGAGTCAAAGAGGATTCTGGGAAATGTAGTAGAGAAGTGGTGATCCAGGCAGGAAGTGACATAGCAAGGAGACTCATATTTAAGCGAAGGAAACCGAAAGTGTCCCCTTTTTCTCCTCCGCTCTTCCTCCAGTGGAGCAATGTGATCTACAGGCAAGGAGGGATGCCAATAAGGTGTCCGATAAGATAAGTCTTATAAAATATATAGATTTATGACAATTAAGACTGAGCTAGCAGATGAGAATCCTAGTCATTGGCCAAGCAGCACTGTACCTAATACAAGTCTCTCTGTGTATTAATTTGGGCCCTAACTCAGGTGGGCAGCTGGCGGACAGCGCCGACGTGGTGGTAGGGCTTGTGTGGCTTTGGCAGAAAGATTTATAGTAACACTACGGCATCCAAAATATCTAGGCAAATAAACAAAAGTTATTAAAAAAATTGGGGAAGACCCAGGTTCAATAAGAAACCACACCTAGTAAAGATGGACAGCAACTTGGGCCTTCACTCACAAAGGTGTGAACACACAAACACAAAAAGTAGAATGCCAATGCAGATATTAAAAGTATATAGGGACAGTAAGATGGCTCAGTGGGTAAGGGAACTTGAAGCTAAGACTAATTACCTGAAGTTGATCCCCAGAACCAACATGGTGGAGAGAATTGACTCCCACAAGTTGTTTTCAGACCTCCACATGTGTGACATGGTACTCCCCTTCCAAAAAGAAAAGCATGTTTTTTTTTTAATTGGTTTACATATTCCTCCTTATTTGTTTCACATTGTTTTCATCTATGTTCCTCCGCATTCCCAATCCCAGATAGCACAATAATTTTTATAGTGCATAGTTATTTTCCTTTATTATGACACAGTAGTTGTATAAGTTTCCTCATGACATACTTGTATGTGAAGCATTGTACTTTCATCTCAAACTACCCAATCTTGCCCTTACATTCCCTATGCCTATGACCATTATCCACTAATAGCCTCCATTTTACTTTGTCTTACTAAAAAATCTAGATTTTCAATGAGACAAAGAGTTGGTTCTTTGAAAAATTCAACAAAATACACAAACCTTTATCCAAACTAACCAAAAGGCAGAGAGAGAATATCCAAATTAACAAAATCAGAAACGAAAAGGGAGACATAACAACAGACACTGAAGAAATCCAGAGAATCATCAGGTCATACTTCAAAAACCTGTACTCCACAAAATCAGAAAACTTTAATGAGATGAACAATTTTCTAGATAAGTACCACATGCCAAAATTAAATCAAGAACAGAAAAACAACTTAAATACATCCATAACCCCTAAGGAAATAGAAACAGTTATTAATAGTCTTCCAACCAACCAAAGCCCAGGCCCAGATGGATTCAGTGCAGGATTCTACCAGAAATTCAAAGAAGAGCTAAGCCCTTGCCCTAAAAACCTGTCTGAAGCTAAACTGAAGAGTTGGGTTACTGGATTAATTGGATTAGGAGCATTAGCAGTGTAGATTTCAGGACAGCCTAGTATTGACTCTGTCATGTGGTTATTAGTAATCATTCTTACGTAGATTTATAATGAAAAGAAGAAAGCTGGACAAAGAAAAATATAAAATGTACAGTGTGAGAAGAGGAACACAAAGAAGTGTAGGGGAATCCTGTTTAGAGGTAATGCTGACCATGCCCGCTTGGGGCTGGACACAGATGTCACTGACCATGCCACTTGGGTGTGGTCAGAGTGACTCGAGAAAGGTTTAAGAAGTTAGAGGCGTGCACTCGTGCCCCTGCTCTCACTCCTTGCTGCCTGGCTAATCAGACTTGGGTGAGTACTATTTCTTAATAAACTGTTATCAATCTAAATCTGACTTGATATTGTGTTCAGCAATAACTGGTGTCAGGACCCCATGCCACTTGGCCTTTTTCCTGATCGGAACACTTCCACAGGTCACCTGCCTGGACTGCCCCTGCGAGTCCCCTTCCCCTGATTGGTCCCCTTAGTTCCTTTGGTTCTGCCAAGAGTTCCCTTTTCTACAGGTCTTCAAACCCGATGTTCCCACAAGAATCAGGGAAGCCCCACTGCTGCTGCAGCCTCCGTTTCTGCCAGGTACCTTCTGCAGGTTTTTTCCCAACCCCCGCCCGCCCATCCTGCCACCACTGCCACTGCCCAGCAAAACTCATCCCTTTTTTAACTCGGGCCGGAAAGCATTCAGATATTTTTCAGGTACTACTCAGATCAACACAAACCATCTGCAGCTGAACAGAGTGCCACCACAACCGGCCACCTGTGCCACCTGCTGGTCAAACACAGTTACTGCGTCTGGAGTGGAAGCCAACAGGTAAAATCAATTATGGCAGACAAGAAAATTTGATGTTGTAAACAATTGGGAACATTCTTGCTTCTTACATGAATTCAATGTTAGAGGAGGTTTACGATTTGCCAGTTACATATCTATATATCGTGTTAGCAGTCAGTCTTATAATTCATGTGATATCTCTAACCAGAGGCCTGAGAAACAGGGAAAAGGACAACTTGGCAACTTGGATGCAGGATATAAAAGCCAGTCAGGAAAACTTGGTATCTATAAATGATCAGAGGCCCCAGTTAAAAGTAAGAACAAATAATAAAATTATTACCGGTAGGGTGGACACTGGGGCAGATGTGACTATTATAACCCAAAAGTCCTGGCCTCAGAGATGACCTCTAAGAGAGGTGAATATTCAATTTTTAGGGATTGGAACTTTATCTAGAGTATGCCAGAGTGTTAGGTGGGTTGTCTACATTGGACTGGAAGGACAGAGAGGAAGGGTAAAACCATATGTAGCAGACACAGCAATAAATCTCTGGGGTCATGATTTTTTACAGTAATGGAATACCCAGATTAACATTCCTCCAGTATAAGATGCAAATCATATACAACCTCTAGATGGTAGACAAAATGTAGTAAGGACTATAAAAAGATACCAACCATTCAAGCTGTACATAAACAAAGTACAAATGATAAACCTTCAGAGGAAACAAAAGCTCTACCCTTAAAGTGGCTTACTGATGAACCTATCTGGGTAGGACAATGGCCCATGGCATCTCAGAAGCTAGAGGCTCTAGAAAAGTTAGTGCAGGAACAGCTAGAGGCTGGGCATATAGAAGGATATACCAGCCCTTGGAATTCTCCTGTATTTGTTATAAAAAAGAAGTCAGGTAAGTGGAGAATGCTGACAGACCTAAGAGCCATCAATAAAATAATTCAGCCAATGGGCTCTCTACAGCCTGGAATGCCTTTGCCTTCCTTGATTCCTAAAGGATGGCCTATTATAGTCATTGATCTGAAAGATTGTTTTTTCACTATACCATTACAAGAAAATGATAGGGGAAAATTTTCGTTTACTGTACCGACTCCTAATAATTCACAGCCAGTTAAGAGATTTCAGTGGAAGGTTTTGCCACAAGGAATGTTAAATAGTCCTACCTTGTGCCAGCTATTTGTACAAAAACCTTTGGAGATAATTCATAAAAAATTTCCACAATCCATACTTTATCATTATATGGATGATATTTTATTGTCATTTTCTAAGCAGGAAACATTAGAATAGATGTTTGAAACAGTGAATGAAGTTCTACCTTATTGGGGATTACAGATTGCACCAGAAAAGATACAAAGTGGAGATTCTCTTAATTATTTAGGTTACAAGATAGACTTACAAAGAATCAGGCCTCAAAAAGTACAAATTAGAAGAGATCATTATCAAACTCTTAATAGTTTTCAGAAATTGCTAGGGGAAATTTCTCAACTACAGACAATAATTGGAGTGCAAGGACATGACATAAAGCATTTAAAAATGGCCCTTAACGGGGACAAGGACTTAAACAGTCCACGAATATTATCCACTGAAGTGGAAAAAGAATTACAATGGGTGGAAAGCAGAATACTGGACGCACATGTAGACCATGTGGACCCTAATTTAGACTGTATTCTGGTTATTTTACCATCCAGAGAATAACCTTCAGGGATTCTGATACAGAGGGAAGATATTATATAAGAATGGATATTACTGCCACATAAACAGAATAAAAAGCTAAAGACACACATAGAAAAGATTTCTGATTTAATTCTAAAGGGCAAATTAAGACTTTGTCAACTGACTGGAAAAGACCCAGCAGAAATTATAGTACCTTTAACTAATGAGGAAATTTACTCTTTATGGTAAGACAATAAATACTGGCAGATAGCTTTTACTGACTTTTTGGGAACAATTAGCAACAATTATCCCAAAACTCACAGAATTAAATTATAGAAAAGACAATCTGGATCCTTCCACGTATTGTAAGAAAAACTCCTATTTCTGGAGTTCTTACCTTCTACACTGATGCCAACAAATCAGGTAAGGCAGGTTATAAATCAGGAGAGATAAGTAAAGTATTTCAAAGTCTGTATAACTCTGTACAGAATGCAGAATTATACGCAATTCTTATGGTACTTATGGATTTTACTGAGCCTCTCAATATAGTTACTGATTCTCAATATGCAGAGAGAGTCATTTTACACATCAAGACTGCAGAATTCATTCCTGACAATACAGAATTAACTTCATTGTTTATACTATTACAGGAAACAATCAGGAACAAAACCCATCCCATATATGTAACACATCGGATCCCATACAGGTCTGCCAGGCCCACTGGCACAAGGCAATGATGAGATTGATCATTTATTAATAGGAAGTGTGCTAGAAGTCTCAGAATTTCATAAGAAACACCCCTGTTACTAGCAAAGGTTTAAAAAAAGGATTTCTCCATCACTTGGCAACAAGCCAAGCAGATAGTGAGTAAGTGTCCTACCTGCTCCTTCTATAATCAAGCTCGATTGCCAGCAGGCTGTAATCCTAAGGGCATTCGGAAAAATGAGGTTTGACAGATGGATGTCTTTCACTTTCCAGAATTTGGAAATTTAAAATATGTATATCATAATATAGACACATTTACAGTGTTTCAATGGGGTATTGCTCTTAGCTCTGAAAAGGCTGATTCTGTTATAACACACCTGTTAGAGGTGATGGATGTTATGGGTTTACCTGCACAAATAAAAACTGACAATGCTCCAGCATATGTCTCCACTACATTGTAACAGTTTTTTCAAATATTATAACATAAAGCATGAAACTGGTATACCACACAATCCCACAGAACAAGCAGTGGTAGAGAGATCTAATCGAACACTGAAAAAAAATGCTCCATAAACAGGCTGGAGGAACGAAAACCCCCAAACATAGGTTACATAATGCTTTAATAAACACTAAACTTTCTTAATGCTAATGAGAAAGGACAAACATCGGCAAAAGGCACTAGACTATGGAAGGATGGGCTAAGGAAGGCCACTGAGGCAGGAGTGTGTCAGGGGGTGGACTTTGAGGTTTCCCTTTCTACTTTTCCTGTGGCTATGATAAAACACACTGACAAAAGTAACTTAAGGAAGGGTTTGTTTTCATTCATAGATCTAGGGTAAATACAGTCCCTCATGGTGGGGAAATCATGGCAGAGGAATTTGAGAAAGTTAGTACAACACATCTGCTGTTAGGAGGCAGAGAGAAATGATTTCTACCTCCCCCTTCCTTTTGCTTAGTCTGGCAATTATAATGGGTCTTCCCACCCCATTTAACGGAATCTAGACAATACCTCAC